ACTGGTTATTAGGAAGGGCTCAGAAATTGCGTTGCCATATCTGACTTGGCCTTGCTGAACTTCATGAAGCGAGATGATCATTTTAAGGAACTTGGAGGGACATCCTAAGTGTTCCAAAATCTGCCATAGACCTTTTCTGCTCACAGTATTGAAAGCCTTGGTGAGATCAACAAAGGTTACATAGAGACCTTTGTTCTGTTCCCTACACTTCTCTTGAAGTTGTCTGAGAACAAATACCATGTCTGTGGTACTCCTGTTGGCTCTGAAACCACACTGACTTTCAGGTAGAATTCCTTCTGCTATAGCGGGTATTAGTCTGTTCAAAAGTATTCTTGCCCGGATTTTGCCAGCAATGGAGAGCAGAGTAATACCACGGTAATTTGAACAGTCTGATTTAACTCCTTTCTTCTTATACAAAGTGATGATGACTGCATCACGAAGGTCTGATGGTAGTTCGCCTAGTTCCCAACAGTGCACCACAAACTCATGAAATTTAGCATGGAGTGCTTGGCCCCCATGTTTCCAGACTTCAGGTGGAATTCCATCAACCCCAGCTGTCTTGCCAATTTTCACCTGCTGTATGACCTTAAGGGTTTCTCCCAAAGTGGGGGCAATATCCGATTCATACTTCATCGGTTGCTGTGTGATGGACTGAATTGCTGAGTCTTGAACTACACGGCTAGTACTGAAAAGAGTCTGAAAGTATTCAGACCATCGATTCAGAATGGAGGTTTTAGAAGCATTTGACCATCTGCGCTGAGTAGAGGGCTTTGGACCTGGTATGTAGACCCGTATGCTCTTTTCAAGGCCTCATAGAATCTTCTGTGATCACCGGTATCTGCGCATAATTGAGTTTTTTCAGCTAGATTGATCTACCACTTGTTCTGGATGTCACGGAGTTTCTGTTGGAGCTTGCTGCATGCAAGATGAAAGGCTGCTTTTCTTACATGACAGGATGACAGTGCAAGGTGTGCTTGGTGAGCAGATCTCTTCTTCCTCAAAAATTCTTGGATCTCTTGATTGTTTTCATCAAACCGGTCCTTGTTCTTCTTGAAGGAGAACCCTAAGGATTCTTCAGAGGACTGCAGGATGCTGTTTTTAATATGGTGCCAAAGTGTTTCAGGAGAGACATCTATAGAATCTATAGAATGATTTTTGAGCCTAGTTTGAAGATTTGCCTGGAATCTGTCTCATTGTGGCTGACTGGAGATTGTTAACTTGGAGTCTCCTCCTTGGGATACCGTCCCTTTTAGTTTTGAACTTAAGATTGAAGTTTACAGCACACAAGTCGATGGTCTGTTTGGCATTCTGCGCTGGGCATCATGCGGGTATGGTGGACGTCATGGACATCTCTCCGTCGCACCAAGACATAATCGATGAGGTGCCAATGCTTAGATCTAGGATGCATCCAGGTTGTCTTCAGACTATTTTTCTGCTGAAAGATAGTATTAGTGATGGTGAGCTATTGCTCTGCACAGAATTCTAGCAGAAGGCAACCATTATCGTTGCAGTTTCCAATGCCATGCTTGCCTAATACTCCTTTCCAGGCTTCAAAGTTCTTTCCTACTCTGGCGTTGAAATCACCAAGGATAATGATCTTATCATCTGCAGGAACCTTTTGGGTAAGGCGGCCCAGGTCGGTGTACAATTTATCTTTTTCGGCAGGGTCAGCTTGGAGAGTTGGGGCATATATACTAAAGAGGACAACATGTTGCTTGTTGTATAGTGGAAGGCGTAGGGAGATAATGTGGACAGAATGACCTGTTGGCAGAATTTTGAGTTTAAGAACAATGGAGTTTTTAATCATGAAGCCAACTCCTGAAAGATGCCTTTCGATTCTGGGTTTACCTGACCAAAAGAGTGTGTAACCGGTGCCATGTTCTCTAAGGCTGCCTTCCTCGTGGAGATGAACTTCACTGAGAGCAGCAATGTCGATGTTGAGACGTGATAGTTCGGTGGCAATTAGGGCAGAATGACGCTCAGGGCGTCCACTATCCGCAGAATCAGGCATGGTTCTGATGTTCCAGCATGCTAGAGTCAGTTTAGGTACACCTTTGGAGGCAGGTGTATGCCTTTGTCTCTTGATCTTTGTGTGATCGCATTAGAAGATGCCTGTTGGCCACAGTTAACCAACTGGGTGAAGCGTGGAGATGAGGTTTGGTTAGACCTCCTTTTCTAGGCCCCTCTCCAAGTGGAGCAAGCAGTGCTCTCCTTGAAAAAGGCTGCTTGGTCATTCAGGATGCTGCCGAAAGAGACTGTCATCTCCGGGGTCAGTCTCTAGCGACCAATGTCCTGAACCGCCTGTATGCAGGGTTGGGTCTGCGGCTTCCAGTGCACCTTATCACCTGCTGTTTCGATCCTTGCCTGTCGCTACAGGGCTTTACAAATGTGGATATCACCCTCGAGCCTGCGCAATGGATTTTTTAGGTGAAATGCAGCATGCGCAGAACTGGACCCACCCTTTAATCCTAAAGTTCATCTGTCAGGGCCTAGCAAGCTTGGACACTGACAGCAAGGTCCTTAGGACATAGGTTTGATTAGAGTGTCCTTCTCTTGGATGGCCTTACAAGGCTAAGTGAGCTCCATCTGCCCAGGTTTGGAATGAGAGTTGTCCTTCTCCTAGGATGACTGCCAGAAGGCTAACGAACTCATCCTGCCCATGGACAGATTTTATCTGACCCTTCAGTTTGGACCTGTCTGGCATGGGAGACCCTACCGAAGGCATGTACTACCGCCAGCATAACTCGCAACCGCGTAGGGGTACACAGGCTTCTTTCCCACTCAGATCGGTTAGGGCAAGCCTTTCATTCCCTACTGTTCTGCCACCCATCTATACTCAAACCCAGGGAAATACCCAGGAACATCCCTCTGTCCTGACCACCCTTTCAGGACGCAATAAATAAATCCAAAACAAACCGAACCTGGGCAATAGCCGCAGGTGAGCCAAAACCAAACTGTTCCGGCCCCCTCACCCACCTGGGGCTCGGGTACCTCCCATGGCCCCAGCCCGGGCAAACCCCTCCAACCCCTCAGAAAAACCCACTATCCACCCTGGTCTTATCCTCCCCCCACCATGTTACCACAGATCTTCCCTTGCACTGCTCACCTGCAACACTCCATACAGGATTGCCCCGCTCGCCCTCCCGACACCCTTTCCCTCCCCTAAATTGGACTGACAAACCTCTGTGCGCTCCGTAGTTCTTCCTCTCCTCTCTCACGAGGGCGCAATCCCCACTGGTGGCCGCGCGGTGCACCCGGTGGCCGTGCAGGCCTGGCATAGCCCAGCGGCCAGGGTGTGGCCCCCCGGAGCAGCTCCGGCAGCCAGCACCTGCCAGTTTACTTTTAAACTAGTGCATTAAGGAACTTCAGGAGGCCTTCAGTTGATCCTCATGCTCAAAGCAGGGTGAGCAAAACCATCTGTCCTGGTTCTGGCCAGGACAGGGTTAATTTTTGCAGTAGCCAGGAGAGGGCGTGGCCAGGACCCGGAGATTATTCTATACCACCCCCTGTCATTGCCAGGGGCGGGGGAAGGGTACTCCATCTTCCATCAGAAAGGGGTTCCTTCCAGTGGAGAGAACATGGCAGAGGGAGCTGTCCCGTATTGTCTATTATTGGGTGGTTTCCATGTGAATTGTTTCTTTTCTTATACTCTGTCATTAGTATTGTTGCTGTTACTGTTAATTTTCTTATCTCATTGCTGTTTCCAGTAAATTGTTCCTATCTCAACCCATGATCTTTACCTTTTGTGCCTCATATTGTCCTCTCCAGCCTGCTGCAGGGGGAGGGTGAGGGGAAAATGGGGGAGCAAGCGAGTGGCACCTGGTTTGGAGAGTCTCAGTGAGGGCACTCAACTGGGGAGTACCATTCCTAAACCACAACACCATGTTATGCAGGGCTTTATCCAGACTGGTCTTGAAAACCTCCAAGGATGAAAAATGCACAGATTCTTTGGGTTTTTCCAATGCTCGACTGTCCTGATAGTGAAAAAGGTTTTCCTTCTACCTAGTCAGAACCTCCCATTTCAGTATAAGTCTCATCCTTCCTCCACAACACTGTGGAAAGCCTGACTCAGGTCTTCCTGATAATCTCCTTATAGGTATGAGGAGACTGCTTTAAGGTCTGTCTGTCCACTGTACGTCATCCTGTCTGTGTCCCTGTCATCATCATCCCTGTCTCCCCTCAAAGACTTTTCTTATCCTAGCTGCACAAGCCCAATACCCTCACCTTCTCTGGAATCTTCCCCATCTCCTCTTCTCCCCCTCCACCTAACCTGACCACCCACAAAGACTTAATTTTTTGGGGGGGCTAAAGAGAAGAAAACACTGTTGCATCTTTTTACTAGTGCCATGTAAATACATAAACACTGAAAACCTAGATTAGTAAGAATATGTCCAAACCCCTACCTTACTAAATCTCATCTATCTCAGTCATTGCTTCTTAGGGATAATATTAAAAACAGCAGTATGCATTACATATTTTAGCATAAAGAATTATTTTCTCATCTGGCCGACAGTTTACCCTATTCCTTCTCCACAGCTAAGGTTTTCAGGCTTCATTTATGCTATGTACATTGTGTTCATTGAACTACTTTTAATTTCACATTCATAAAATTTGATGATTGCAATCAAGACAAGCATTGCATGTTAAAACACTTTTGAGCTGGTTAAGAGTTCAGTACTTGTAATGCTGCCTTTAAATTTTTTCTTATGTAGAGCAACTGAAATAATTCTTATCTTTTAATCTTCATATTGGAAAGGATTTAAAATTATTGTGTCCTCCATGAATTTGAGCTTTGTTTTGAAGTATGATTAGTCAATTTTTGAAACTTCAAAAATTTCTTCTGAATCAGGGCTCAAAATAATTTTGTATCCATAACTTAATGACATACACTTTAGTACTATTGGAATACACAAGTTGGGAGAATTAACTAAATACCTCTTTAAACTCTGGTTTTTGAAATTAGGGAAAAAATACATTGATATACATGACTGCTAGATTACCTTTAAGGGTTCCATCACTTCCAGCTGGAGAGCAGACTGACTGTGGTGACCTCAAGGAAAAAGATGCAGCATTCTTTACTGAAGGATCGCCATCCTAAAGCGACAATGATAAAAAAAGCCCCAAAAACATTAGGAACATGAACATTTGATAAAATAAAGACTGAAATTAGTACATATACTGATAAAATGGATCAGATGAAAAAGCATACAAAAATATTAGAAAAATATTTATTTATATAAAAATCTTTGTAATTTAGACTGCTATTAGACTACTATATAGGCAACATTCCAGAAAACAATTAGCCTTAAGATATTAGAACCTGGGTCCCCAGCACAGGAAGGACATCAACACATTGGAGCGAGTCCAGAGGACGGTAATAAAGATGCTCAGAGGGATGGAGCACCTCTCCTATGAGGACAGAATTAGGACTGTTCAGCCTGGAGAAGGTACCAGGGAGACCTTAGAGGACCTTCCAGTACCTGAAGGGAGCCTACAAGAAAGCTGGAGAGGGACTTTTGACAAGGACATGTAGTGACAGGACAAGAGAAAGTAGCTTTACACTCAAAGAGGGTAGATTTAGATTGGATATTAGGAATAAATGAATTCTTCCCTGTGAGGGTGGTGAGGCCCTGGCACAGGTTGCCCAGAGAAGCTGTGGATGCCCCATCCCTGGAAGTGTCCAAGGTCAAGTTGAATGGGGCTTGGAGCAACCTGGTCTAGTGGAAGGTGTCCCTGCCCATGGCAGGGAGTTGGAATGACATGATCTATAAAGTCCCTTCCAACCTAAACCATTCTGTGATTCTCAAGTTTCTCAAAAAATGGTCCTTAAATTGAGTATACGTGCAGTGAGCCTTCAAGTCTATGCTTGCTGATTTAGTAGAATCAAATATTGCAAATATACAATATCTGGTAGGTATTCTTAATTTTTAAGGAACAAAATACTAAAACTAAGAAAAAAACTAAATCATAAAATTTTTAGGTTTTATGATTTAATAATCCTTGTTCATAACTATCTCTGCCAATGGTCACACTGATTCTAAAAAGGCTGCAACATTATGATTAACCTTATTATTCATACACAGATGCAAAACTTCTTCATTACTCCAACTTCTTCAAACTATTTTCTGCAGGATTGCTATTCAAATCAGTTTTTAAAGGTATAATTAATTTTTACCCTTAGTATTTATACCATTAAACCAATGATGGTATGTTTTATCTTTTCATAGTCAGTTTTGAATGAGTTTCATAGAATCCTTAGGGTTGGAAAAGATTTTTGAGATCATCAAACCCAACTGTTAACCCAGCACCACCACTGTGTTTACCACTAAACCATGCCATCAAGTACCATATCCACATGTTTTTTGAACAATTCCAGGGATGGTGACTAAACTACTTCCCTGGGCAGTCTGTTCCAATGCTTCATAATCCATTCCATTAAGAAAGTTTTCCTAATATATTATCTAAACCTCCCCTGACACAACTTGAGGCTCTTTCCTCTTGTTCTATTGTTACCTGGGAGAAGACGCTGACCCCCATCTCACTATAACCTCTTTCAGGGAGTTGTAGAGTGCAATATGGTCTCCCCTGAGCCTCCTTTTCTCCAGGCTAAACATCCCCAGCTCCCTCAGCTGCTCCTTACAGGACTTGTGCTCCAGACCCTTCCCCAGCTCCCTTGCCCTCCTCTGGACTTGCTCCAGCCCCTCAATGTCTTTCTTGTCATGAGGGGCTCAGAACTGGGCACAGCACTCAAGGTGAGGCCTCACCAGTACCAAGTACGGGAGGACAATCACTTCCCTGGTCTTGCTGGCCCCACTATTTCTGATACAAGCCAGGATGCCATTGGCCTTCTTGCCCACCTGGGCACATGCTGGCTCATATTCAGCCAGCTGTTGACCAGCACCCCCATGTCCTTCTCCACTGGGCAGCTTTCCAGCCATTCTGCCCTCAGCACTGCAGGGGGTTCTTGTGATGGAAGTGCAGGACCTGGCACTTGGTCTTGTTGAACCTCATACAATTGGCATCGGTCCATTGATCCAGCCTGTCCAGATCCCTCTGCAGAGCCTTCCTGCCCTCCAGCAGATCAACACTCCTGCCCAACTTGTTGTCTGGGAACTTACTGAGGGTGCATTCAATCCCCTTATCCAGATCACTGATAAAGATATTAAACAGGACTGGCCCCAATACTGAGCCCTGGGGAACCCCACAGGTGAGTGACTGCCAGCTGGATGCAGCACCATTCCCCACCACTCTCTGGGCCTGGCCATCCAGAGAGTTTTTTACCCAGTAAACATTGTACCTCTCTAAGCCATGAAGAGCCAGTTTCTCCAGGAGAATGCTGTAGAAAACAATGTCAAAGGCTTTACTAAAGTCCAGGTAAACAACATCCACAGCTTTTCCCTCATCCGTCAGGCAGGTCACCTTATCATAAAAGGAGATCAGGTTGGTCAAGCAGGACCTGCCTTTCCTAAACCCATGCTGGCTGGGCCTGATTCCCTGGTTGTCCTCCATGTGTTGCATAATGGCACTCAAGGTGATCTCCTCCATGACCTTTCCCAGCATCATGGTCAGGCTGACAGGCCTGTAGTTTCCCAGATCCTCCTTCTGACCATTGTTGTAGATGAGTGTCACATTTGCCAACTTCCAGGCCCTGGGACCTCCACGGTTGACCAGGACTGCTGGTAAATGATTGGAAGTGCCTTAGTGAGATCTTCCACCAGCTCCCTCAGTACTCTTGGGTGGATCACATCCAGGCCCATGGACTTGTGGGGGTCTAAGTGGCATAGCAGGTTGCTGACCATTCCCTCCTGGATTATGGAGGCTTCTTTCTGCTCCCTGCCCTTCAGGTCTGCCTCCCAAGGGACTCTCTCAACCAGCCTCCTAAATAGGCCAATCTGCCCTCTGGAAGTCCAAGGTGGCAGTTCTGCTGACCCCCTTCCTTACTTGTCTGAGAATCAAAAAGTGTCATCACATGATCGCTGTGCCCAAGATAGCCACCAACCATCACATCATCCACCAGACCTTCTCTGTTTGCAAACCGCAGGTCCAGCAGAGCACCTCCCCTGGTTGGCTCACTCAGCTGTGTCAGGGAGTTCTTCCACACACTCCAGGAACCTCCTGGACTGTTTCCTCTCTGCTGTGTTATAGTTCCAGCAGACATTTCGTAAGTTCAAGTTCCCCACAAGAACAAGGACCAGTGATCGTGAGGCTTCTCCCAGCTGCTTATAGAATATTTCATCTGCCTCTTCATCCTAGTTGGATGGTCTATAACAGACTCCCATCAGGAAATCTGCCTTGTTGGCCTTCCCCCTGTTTCTTACCCAAAAGCACTTGATTCTATCACCATCATTAAGTTCCAGACAATTGAGACACTCCCTAACACACAGGGCTACCCCATCACCTCTCCTTCCTTGCCAATCCCTTCTGAAGAGTTTATAGCCATCCATTGCAGCATTGCAGTTATGCGAGTCATGCCACCATGTTTCCATGATGGCTACTATGTAATAGTTTTCCTGCTGCACAATGGCTTCCAGTTCCTCCTGTTTGTTGCCCACGCTGCATGCATTGGTGTACATGCACTTCAGTTGCATTTGCTGATGATACAAAACTGGGGGGAGTGGATGTGCTGCCATTGAGCAGGACATTGATAGGCTGGAGAATTGGGCAGAGAGAAACCTAATGAGGTTCAACAAGGGCAAGTCTAGGGTCCTGCACCTGGGGAGAAATAACCCCAAGTAGCAGGACAGGTTGGGGGCTGACCTATTAGAGAGCAGCTCTGTGGCGAAGGATCTGGGAGTCTTGGTGGATGACAAGTTGACCATGAGCCAGCAGTGTGCCCTTGTGGCCAGGAGAGCCAATGGGATCCTAGGGTGCATCGGGAAGAGCCTGGTCAGTAGGTTGAGGGAGGTGATCCCCCTCCTCCTCTACTCGACCCTAGTGAGGCCCCATCTGGAATGCTGTGTCCACTTCTGGGCTCCTCGGTACAAGAAAGACAATGAACTACTGGAGAGGGTCCAGCAGAGGCCACAAAGATGATGAGGGGTCTGGAGCATCTCTCTTATGAGGAGAGACTGTGAGAGCTGGACCTGGTTAGTCCAGAGAAGAGAAGACTGACAGGGGATCTCATTAATCCATATAAATATCTCAAAGGCAGGTGCCAAGAGGATGGTGCCAGACTCTTTTCGGTGGTGCCCAGTGACAGGATGAGGAGCAATGGCCATAAATTAAAACATAAGAAGTTTCATCTCAACACGAGGAAGAACTTCTTTCCATTGAGGGTGGCAGAGCACTGGAATGGCTGCCCAGGGAGGTCATGGAATCTCCCTCTGGAGACATTCAAAACCCACCTGGACACATTTCTGTGTCACCTGCTCTAGGTGGCCCTGCCTTGGCAGGGGGGTTGGACTAGATGATCTCCAGAGGTCCTTCCAACCCTGACGATTTGTGATTCTAAGTTCTCATGAACTAGGATGCAGTTGCATTGCATCACAAAATTAGGGGTGAATATTTTTAAATACTTCCTCTTTAAACATTGTGAAGTAAATTATCCTAAGATCAAAGTTTTCCAAAAATCTTGTCTTAACAAAACCAAGATTCTCTTGAAAGTGTACCTTTAACATAGTTGGGGGATATACATACATTTAATGCCAAGAACAGCTTATTTTGAAGAATTTTCATTGCTGAAGCAGAGACTGAGAAAAATATCGGATGATTGGGTATTATGATAGATTCCTTCATTACAAAACTCTCTTGTTTAAGATACTACTTCTTAGCTAATATTTTAAATCAACATAATTAAAAAAAAAAGACTAACAAAACTAATAACTCTCTTGGAGTTGCAGTGTATTAATCCCTGTAAAGAATTTAGGTAGCCTGGTGTTAGTAGTACACTGTTTTTTGCTTCCACAAGCTAATTTAGGAAGACAAGAGTTGCCCTCAGCTTTCATAATGTAAATAAAACACATCGTTATAAAAAAAAAAGGCCTGCATGCCACCAGGTTTTGATCAAGTTTTGTAACTTATAGGCATCACTATGACCACACAGTTCAAAGAGCTAAAGTCAAAAAATAAAAATGAAACTTAAGTGCTCTCCCCTTAAGAGGTGTTAAGAGATTGTGTGCCAAACTTGTAAAGAAGAATCCAAACATGCTTCATTCACAGGATGAGATGCTCATTAAGAAGAAAATTAACAAGTTCAAAACACCATGGGAGAAAGTTGCTGGGTTTTTTTCATTTATCTTCAAGGCCTCAGCAAGAATTTCTCCCAAAGTCACTATGGGAAAACATGTTATAAATAAACCAGGCCATGAAAACACATAACAGACCTGTAAGAAAAAGTGTTAAAAGAAATTTTTGCCTTTTACCAAACTACTATATTACTCAATAGGTTATGCAATTATGTCAAGTCTGACAGTTAGGGGAATCTTCAGAAAGACAAGTTAACTATACACCTATTTAGAATCTAGTATTGTTTTTATCAACATATTGATACAATAATTGCAGAGAAACTCTATAATTTCTTTAAAATAAACTCACATATGAGTAGGATTTTTTACTTTTCATACTTTGATCAGAATGAATGTTACAAACTGTTCCAAAGGAAAGAGATCTAGAAAAAATTGAAACTCGCACATTAAAGTTGCACAGTTGAGTGCACACATCTGAAACTGAAATATATTTTCAATGGTTTTATTCATCAACAGCATCATCATAAAATATCTGACTTCTAGGGCAGCTTAACACATACTTGCTTTATCATAGTAAATATTTGTTTTATCATCATAAACTGATCTAGGTAACATACATCACTACTTAGCCTGTGCACCATTTGTAGATAGTCTTCATTTGAGCCATGTCTAGAATTATCAGCATGATGATTAGCTGAATTTCCAGACAATTGACTTGAAACTTTATTTTCATGGAGATTCCTCATCCCAGCTGTGACAATGGGACTGGATACCGAAGCTGAAATACAGAAAAATATAAGTAATTATACCAATATATTCACACAATAGTTACTCAAAAATTTCACAGAAAACACCATAATATTAATGAGTTGGATACAAGAGGTCTGGGATCTGAACAAGAATCCCAACTTTCTTCATTGAATCCTTTTGCCGCAAATACCTTGAATAAAATTAGGTATCTAAGATGTGAATTTTCAAGAGGCTTTAAAACCTAAATTCCATGTACAGATTAGACAAGTTTCTTTCCACATCTATCCTAACTACAGTCAGTATCATACACTTATAGGTTATAGAAAACTTTATTTTCCTCTACATAATATGTATACACTACCTTTAGTAACTTGCAAGATATTAATGAGATATATAACATTACATATGGAACAACTATATAAATTCTAAGCACATTGCTAAACTTTAAGAACAGATGATTTAAAAGAATCTAACAAGAATTCTACTTACAAAGAAGGATAACACCTAGATACTTCACAGTGTTCATGTTGTTCAAGATTGGTTTTAGAAAAGGGAAGAACAAAGAAATCCATTTATTCTGAAGGTCATCTTTGCCAGTTACTGCATACCTTGAATATAAATCTGGACAACTTAGTCTAACCTACACTGAAAAGGTTTTGTAAAGTTAAATAAGGTGGCAGCAAAACTTACATTACACTGGCAAAAATTAGGTTTTTGCTAATACAAATAATTGCCATAGCTAACAAATAAAAATTTTAGGGGCTTTTTTATTTTTCTATTGTCATATATACGTGACAAATATGCAAAATCGGTGTACGTAGAGGAGGAGCAGTAATGCCAAGGTCGCGGGTTTGATCCCCGTATGGGCCATTCACCCAAGAGTTGGACTTGATGATCCTTGTGGGTCCCTTCCAACTCAGAATATTCTGTGATTCTGTGCGTTTGATGATTTCTTCTTCCTTCGTTTGGGTTTTTTTTTTAAATAAAATAAATACTACCACTCTGTACAGTCAGGAAAGCAAAGCTTAAACATACACAAAAAATTCCCTATCAACTCCAAGATTTGCATTAAGCATGTGACTCCTTCAAAGAAATTAGAGAGTCGTGAAACAGACACGAAGGTAAAGTTGGTATGAGATAGGAGAATAAAATGAATATCAAAGACTTACCTTGCTGCATCTGAGGATGTGGTGTATAACTTGGAGGATGTGAATATGGCATGTATCCTGCAGGACTTTGAGGAGCATATGGACTAGGCACTGGACTATTCTGTTGTGCCAAAAATCTGTTACCAGAGTTTGTTTGTGGTGGCACAAATCGGCTAAAAAATAAAATTTAAAAAGTTTGCAAAAGTTGGAAAAGGAAATTTATACAAGTTTCTTATTTCTTTTGGAATATTATACCTTTGGAACGTTATAACTTCTGTAAGAGGCAAAATTTCAATGCAATCAAGAAACCCCTTTAAAAGCAGTATTTTAAGTTATCAATACCTTACCAACTTCAATTATTACTTAACCACAGTTTAGGTACAGCATTAGTAAAAGTAAAGAATAGAATAAAAAGCATTTTAAGACCTCCACCTAAGGAAAGGAAACAATGACAAAATAAGATCTTCAGATTTACTAAAACAAGATATGTAATTTCCCAAAGTTAGTCCTAGAAGTTTGAATGAAGGTGACAGCTAAGGTTTAATTATCATATAACAACTATCTTGCTAGGATTAACAAGGAGCCATCTACTCTAAATATGATTTTTCTAGTAAGATTTCAAAGAACTTCATTTAACAGAACAATATTGCCAAGATATAGGAATGTGATAGGCAGGACCTGACCCAAAGTCTACTGAATACATCTTATTCTTTCAGTGGTTTTATCTCAGACTCCTAAAGATAGAAAGTCATAAAAACAAAATAGGCATATGACAATAATACATGTACATTATAACCTACATTCTTGTATGAGATTTTTCAAAACAAAAATTAAAAAAACATATACTTCAGAAAGTACATGCTTTCACAATCCTTGCTTTTAGATAGGAACTCTATGAAGGTAAGCTTCCATAGATAGAAATATCAAAGTATATAACACAAGGATTTTGCAAGGATTTCAATAAGACCTAGTATATTGTAATATTCACTATTAAAAAAAATTTTTCAATATCACTTTTAGATATAAAAGTAAAAATTTGTACTGCTTTTTCGTGCAGATACAGAGTGTTTAATTTGACAAAACAATTTCAGTAAGTGAAATAAGTTTATTTTAATAATGATATCTAATAACTGGAGATTAAATATGTTACAGCCCAGTAACTGGGTTGAAACTACATGCAGAATTCTTTCCTCTAGTCCAGAGTACTTTATTATATTAACAAAGACTGAGGGAGCTGGGGTAGTTTAGCCTGGAGAAAAGGAGGCTCAGGGGACACTTTATCGCTGAAAGGAGGTTGTAGCAAGGTGGGGGTCAGTCTCTTCTTTTAGGTAACAAGTGATAGGACAAGAGGAAATGGCCTCAAGGTACTCCAGGGGAGGTTTAGATTGGATATTAGGAAAAATTTCTTCACCAAGAGGTTTGTCAACCACTGGCACAGGCTGCCCAGGGAAGTGGTTAAGTCACCAACCCTGGAGGTATTTGAAATACATGTTCATGTGTCACTTAGGGACATGGTTTAGTGGTGGACCTGGCAGTGTTAGATTAATGGTTGGACTTGATCTTAGAGGTCTTTTCCAACCTAAATGATTCCATAAGTACATGCTACTTGCTGACACTCAAAGTTTGAAAAAGAACCAGAAAACTGATGAGGAAGCTGCTGGAAGACTGGCCAAATTACTGGGCCTATCTTCCTCTGAGCAACCTTTTGGATAACTGTTACAGCAGTATTCCATGTTTTTACAAGCCTTCTTTCCCACCCTTCTGTCACACTGGTAATGTTATACATGCCGGAACACAAAGCCTCTTCTATCCTCCTGCCACCAGTCTCAACCTCTGCCACAGGTAGAGAATAGCTGGAGGGGTGTCAGGAGGCAGGGGGATTACTTAAGCAGGAAAGAGTTTGCCAAAATTATGGGAGGGAGAGAGAGCAGGGAATCCTGACTAGTTGGAATACAAAGATTAACTCACTAGCAAAAAGATATTTCTTTGACAGTTGAAGAAACTCACCCTGCTGTCAGACAAATGTAAAATATGTCTTGACACTGATCACCTTTCACTCACATACTTGCAACAAGAATTGACTGTCACTGTAGGAAGAATTTGCAGTTTGTTGCCCATTCCACCCCATTTAAAAGAGAGTGTTACCTGGAAGGGCTATGTGAGATAGTGGTTTGTTGATAATTAGAAGATGCAGGACTACCTCTCATGGAATTCTGAGAAATATTAAACTGCGACATCATCATCCCTATTAAGAAGAAGATAGCAGCATTACTTTACATGCATTTCCTTTTCAATCAATGAAGTCTCTCATTTCAGAAATTATTATATACAAAGATATTAAAAACTTTAAAATATTATCATCTTTTACCTACAACTGTTAGAAAACATTAAAAAAAGATCGATTTCATGTAAGAGGTCCATTTTACACCATGACATAAAAAGAGTGTTCCCTAAAGCAGTGTTAAGTCAGTTATAAATATCAACGGCAGTTCCTTCATCTGTTCCTTAGCCAAAAACGTGCTAGTAAATAGAAAGATTTTATAACAGGACATATACTTCACACTCCAGACTGATTTGTGGAATACTCATTGCACCAATAAGATTTGGAAACTTCACAAGTCAGAAGAACACAGAAAACTTATCTGCCATTTTTAGAACAAGTACAGCAAACAGTCATCTCGGGTTGAGTGGTGCAAGATATTCTCCCTTTTCCCCTAATACCTTAGTAGTTCTTTTCTACCCAGAGACAACAGCTTTCTATTCCACCTCCACCACACTTATAAGGAATGTTATCAAAGAAGGCACTGAAATATTTTCAATTGCAAAGAACCACCAATATCCCATCTGTAGACTTCAACAGCCTGTAGATTTCCACAGTCATGCTTTGAAAATTCAGGAGTTGTACTAGATGGCAAGCCACAAGTACAAATGGGACTGAAATCAACTTGCATCTTTATTAGGGAGAATTTAAATGAATCCTTTTTGTTTCCTCTGTTCAATACAAAGAATTTCTAACCACCACATGACACTGGAAGTTGAAGTGGTACAGGTACACAAAAACTTATACAACTTTTAACCAGGTGATCTTAATGACAGAACCGAATGTCTTGCAGCTAAAACAGCATCACAATTCACATACACACTGCAGCTTAGTAAGCCACAGTAAGTGATCCAAAGCCATGGGTAAAAGCACATCAGTAATGCAAATGTTTAAACCAAAGGTTAGATAGATGGTTGACAGTAGTCCCTAACCCAGAGTGTTTGGAAGTCATCAATCTTTGGATTACTATAACGAATTTCAATTACTGCAATATTCACACAAGCAAAACTAGTTTTAGAAATCCTCCCTGTCATCCTCTTTTCTCTTCCCCTCTCCCCAAAAGAGAAGTGATGGGATAATCCCCCAGGAATTAAGCTGTTACTACTTCCCGGTATGTATGAAGTGCTGCATTCCAAGTATATTAGCACAGGCAAACTAGCCCAGAGCAGGAGTGAAATTCTCATATTGTGCTGGAAAATAAATAAATAAATAAATAAATAAGAGACTTCTGAGAGAGGGAAGCTGTGTGGATATGTATGTGTGCAGACTTAAAAATACTTTACGTGGGTGTCAAGATTTTAAGAAAATGTGTTACGTGAATCTGTCGGACCATAGTGAGTCCTTATTCTAGATGGTAGATGACCTCTCTAATTTTTTTCTTGGTGAAGTGTTGTTATCCATCCTTGTTGTGAGATGCTGCATTTCTTAGCTTTGAATCAAGGGTTGTCGATACTGATGCCTTACTTGATCATAAATTCAAAAAAAAAAAGAAAAAGAATTGTCAGAGGGTCAACAGGAATGGATGTGTCCACCTCTGACACAGTAACCGTTCTATCAAGACATGTGACTAAAGTTCCTTTAGATGCCTGGGGACCTATTGGACGTGAGTTAAGTGCCTTGTTAATCAGTCGTTCTAGTAGCACAATTGCAGGACTTTTTGTTCATATCGGAGTAATTGATGCTGACTATACAGGACAGATCTGTGCTATGGTTTCCACACCTTATCCACCAGTGACAATTCCTAAAGGGACACGAATAGCTCAACTTGTGCCTTTTGTGAGTTGTGTTCCCCAAGCAGAGCCTCGTGAGTGTCAGGATGGAGGATTTGGTTCTACCGGTACACCACAAGTCTTTTGGTCAGTGTCGCTTTCTGCGCAACGTCCACAGATGACCTGTACTCTCTACAATGCTCGAAGCTTGCCATCAGTTGTCCAGGTGAACGGACTTCTGGATTCGGGAGCTGATGTAACTATCATTGCACGGACATCCTGGTCAGCCTCTTGGCCTTTGGTCATGGCAGGGGCCGGGGTTGTGGGATTGGGAGGTACTGCTCAGTTTTGTTTCAAAACATGCAGTGCTCATTACTAATCCTGAGGGTCAAACTGCTACCATCAGGCCATATGTGACTGTGGTACCTTTAACCCTGTGGGGATGGGATGCTCTATCTCAGTGGGGGGTGAAGATCACTACAGATTTTTAACTGGGGTCACTGTATTGCAGGGTGTGACACGACCCACCATTGCTTTGACATGGCTTACAACTACTCCTGTGTGGGTTATACAGTGGCCCCTACCTACAGAAAAGTTGTTGGCCCTGCAACAGTTTGTTAAGGAGCAGCTTGACGCTGATCACATTGAACCATCTCAGAGTCCTTGGAATACCCCTGTATTTGTGATAAAGAAAAGATCTGGAAAGTGGAGACTGTTGCATGATCTCAGACAAATTAATGCAGTCATGGCTACCATGGGAGCATTACAGTCTGGTTTACCAACTCCTATGCTTCCTGCAGGATGGCCCATTGTTATTATTGATTTGAAAGATTGTTTTTTCACAATACGGTTAGACCCCAGTTATAGAGAAGAAAAAATCGCATTTTCAGTTCCATCTATTAATCGTGCAGAACCTTACGAGCATTATCAATGGAAAACTCTCCCCCAGGGAATGAAAAACTCTCCTACAATTTGTTAGTGGTTTGTGGTTCTAGCATTGTCTCCTGTACGAATACAATTTTCTGACTGTCTCTGCTATCATCATATAGATGATATTTTGCTGGCTGCAGCCACTGAGGATCAGCTGAGTGTGTTAGAAACTGAAACCAGAAAGAGTCTACAATCCTTTGGCCTAGTAGTTGCTCCTGAGAAGGTGCAGCGAGAGGAACCCTGGAAGTATTTAGGGTTCAAAATTACATGGAAAGCAGTCATTCCTCAGTCAGTTCAATTGGATATTAATGTCAAAACTCTTACTGACGTACAAAAGCTATTAGGGTCTTTGAATTGGATTAGGTCCTATTTGGGATTGGCAAACACCCAGCTGGCACCTCTATTTGACCTGCTCAAGCATTCTGACAATCCTCAGGAACCGAGAGAACTGACTAACAGAGCAGTTCAAACCATCCAGCAAGTAGAGCAGGTTTTACATTCTAAACTTGTTTCACAAATTGATTATTTTCAAATTGTCCAATTTTTTATTCTTGCAGATCACAGTGTTCCTTTTGGGGGATTGGTACAGTGGTCTAACCAATGGTCTGATCCACTGCACATCATAGAGTGGCTATTTTTGCCTTATCGGGCTCAAAAACTGTTCCTGGATTGTTTGAGCTCATAGCTCAAGTCATCATTAAGGCTAGAAAAAGGTGCGTAGAGTGTACCGGCAGACATCCAGGTCGCATTGTTGTACCTGTACAATCTCGTTACTTTGAGTGGTGTCTGGAAAACAAACATGAATTGCAAGCTGCTTTAGCTGGGTTCCACAGTCAAATTTCTTATCATTTACCTGCACATCCCCTTCTTAAGTTTTTTAGGGAAATTCCAATTGGACAAAAAATGCTATGCAGCAAGGAGCCCCTGGATAGTCTTACAGTCTTTACGGATGGCTCTGGGAAAACAGGTAAAGTTGCGGTAGTGTGGAAAACAGAATGTGGATGGCAACATCAAATTGTTCATCAGGAAGGTTTTCCTCAAATTGTGGAACTTCAAGCTGTAACTCTCGCTTTTCAGTTATTTCCTAATCAGCCTTTAAATGTTATTACTGATTCTGCATATGTTGTTAATTTGTTACAGCAACTCGATCAGGCGGTGTTGTATTGTCCATCTCCAGGTCTTATTTTTCAAGTTTTGTTCGAGTTCTGGAGAACTCTTTTGCAGAGGTCTGTTCCTTATTTTGTGCTACATGTTCGTAGTCATACCTCTTTGCCAGGTTTCTTTACAGAGGGTAATGCCTGAGCAGATGCTCTTGTTTCTGCTGTTCTTTGGGACCTGTTCCTAACATTTACCAACAGGTTGTCTTGTCTCATCAGTTCTTTCACCAAGGTGCAGAAGCCTTGAGACGTCAATTTGGTTTAACTCATTTTGTTGCTCGCTCAATTATTGCTTCCTTTCCAGACTGTCATAATGCCTATACTCCTGTCTATTTTGGTACTAACCCTCGAGGCCTTAAAGCCTTACAGATTTGGCAATCAGATGTCACTCATGTTAATGAATTTGGTAATTTAAAGTATGTCCATGTGTCCATTGACACGTTCTGTCATGTGGAGGTTGCTACTGCACATACTGGACAAAAAAGCCATGATGTCATTAAACACTTCCGTCGTGCTTTTGCTACATTTGGAGTGCCCGTACAAATAAAGATGGACAATGGGTCATCTTATGTCTGTAAATCTGTCCAAAATTTCTTTGCTTTGTGGGGGGTCACTCATGTGACGGGTATTCCACATTCTCCTACAGGACAGGCTATTGTAGAGAGAATGCATGGTACCCTGAAGCAATTGCTTCAAAAACAGAAGGGGGGAATGAAGGGACAACCCCCTCAGTCTAGGCTAGACAAAGCTGTGTATGTCTTAAACTTTTTGACCTTCTATAGCGATTCTCCTTATTCACCTTCTTTTCGGCATTTCTCCTCTCTTTTATCAACTCAGCCACTATCTGCCAAAGCTCCTGTGCAGATATGGTATCTTGTATCTGGTCAATGGTCTGGATTTTAGATTTCTAATGTGGCTCAAACTGCCACATCCACATGAGTGATAACTTGGGGAAGGGGATATGCTTGTATCTCAACAGATAACGGCCCTCGCTGGGTACCTGCGCAGTGTGTGCGTCCTGCTGTTGGCCCTGGAAGTCGCCAGTGCAGTTCCTGATCTGTCAAAGTTCACTCCATGGAACAGTCGAAACGTCTGGGTGACACTAATGAAGGAACTGAACCAGACGACC